TGTTCCTTGGAGAGCTCCTCTGCCTATGTGTGTGCTCAACTGAATTGTCTTTTATTTACTTCATTGATCTTAAAGAGTAGCCAGCATTGTTCAGAAGCCACTAACCATGTTTCCTCCTGCTGACAATTATAGCAATAACCTGGACACCTTTCTGCTCACTGTAAAAGCTCTCTTTATGGGAAGACAAATGGTAACAATAAAATTACCACTTAGAGTGAGACATATAGATCCACATCAAAAATTTACAAGAACTCGTATGAAACAAAACTGTACAGCAATGCTGGGTATGGTGGTGCATACCTATAATCCCAACACTTGGGAGACCGAAGCAGGAGGACAGCCATGAGTGTAAGGCCAGGCTGGTCTACATAGTGAGTTCAAACCCAGCCTGAACTACATACAAAGTGAGACTCTGTCTAAACTATAACAAAACAAAATACCCCCGCCCCCCAAAAAATCTGTATCATCCACCCTGCACGGACATAAATACTAATATTTTAATTGCTCAACCTCAGCCAACCTTAGATATATATATAGATATAGATATTGATATTGCATAGTACAGTGTAGAAAAACAGTGGATTGGAATCCAAAACAACAGTATTTCTGTCCTTGTCTACCATCAATAATTGTACAAGTAGTTGCATATCCAGGCCCCTGGATACCTCTACTGCCAGCTACTACTGAGGAAACTTCTAGCCCTGTGACTTTATGCTTTTGATTTTCTTTCTGAGTTTCTGAGTCTATGACTGAGGAAGCCAACATATATAGAGAGGTAGTAGAAAAAGTTCTGCACCGAGTCTTCCCTCTGTCACCAGTGTACCAGGTGACCTTGAGGAAGTTCCACCTCTCTGCACCTTAGGTTGTCCATCTCTAAGACTGGTAATGCATTTGGGCTTAGTTATCTCTAATGTATCTTCCAGCTTAGAAGGTCTGATTTCTTAATACTTCAAGGTTATAGATTTATCACCAATTTCTAGAGAGAGTCTGACTAATATTCAGGCACACAGAGTGGACAGTATTTAAGCAGCTCTTTCACAGAGCTAACAGAGGTAAGTCAAACCCTACAGTCAGATTTTCTGATTTAGTTGCAGGATGACTAAGGAGCTATAATTTGTGGAAGTGCTTCTGGTACCAAAGAAACTGTTACCCACCTCCAAACTCAAGTGTATTCTATAGCATGCTAGTTGTGAAACAATTCATTTTTACTCCTAAGAGAGCTAGGAAGATCAGCATGTATGACAGACATTTTGACAATTTTTAGAAAGGTAAGGAAGACTTTATTTAGGACTATTGCAACAGGGGAAAGAGATCCCGCTCAAAATTGAACACAAGGGTAAGAGAGGATTTACAGTCACTGAACAGAGTGAAGGAGTGAGTGGATAGAAAACTATTAACAGAAGACATCAAAGCACAGAAGAGTTCAGCAAATGGAAGACCAACGACTTACATATCAAAGATGGGGGATAAGAAGCTTGATCAGATAGGAAGAGTAGGAAGATTGTCTCTAAACTGACTTAGCAGGATTTTTAATAAGATTCAACTCAGCAAGGATGGGCAGAGAAGCTCCAGGTCAGACTTTAGTTAAGAAGATGACTCAGAGAAGCTTAACTAAAGTTTGGTCAAGGGAGAATCTTTGTTTACATAAAGTAGCTCAGAGATGCCCAGAACCAGGATCTTTATGTCAAATTGAAACTCTCAAGCATCCCATACTTTATGTCACACAGGGACATGGTAAAGCTATTTTGCAGAGCCCCTCTCTTCCATAAAGAAGACAAGATATACACATAGATACTCTATGATGGGAACTTATCCAACGTGGACTTGGAAATTCCTGGTAGACACGTCACCAACAAGGCCTGATGATATTCACATGGGCTGAGGCTTCCCCAAAAAGTACAATAAAATGCCAGATGACTAGAAAGTCAACACCTTTCTGGGCATAAAGATCACAATGACACAAATATATTGCTAGGATAGGCCCTGAAGAAAATCAACAGATAAAAAAAATCTTCGTACTTCTCCATCCCTTAAAATGGCACATCTATTGCTTCTTTCAAAACCTTCTCAAACTTCTAGTGCCTAGAAGACAATTCTTTAATGGTTATAGGGTGGATTTCTAATGTATTATATTCTGGTTTGGGGATACCTCCCATCCATTTTCTCCTTCAAACAAATGAACAACTTCCTTGTCCTTTACCTTAATGAACTGGAACTCTAACTTGTCCCAGGTGACAACTTAGAATAATGTTATCTAATTCATAAATCTTTCAGAAACATAATGGCCTAAGCTCAGCAGAAGGATTTGGGAATATTTGCCTGCTAATGATATTCAGAAAAGATGAGTGAATGAAAAAGAAAGAAAAAAGGTAAAATATCTTCAACATTGTCAGTCAACAAAGCAATGAAAATTATAACAAAATTCCATTTTTTACATATTATACTGTGCAAGAGGATAATACTCAATGTTAATAAGAAAGCCTTGTACAATAATGGGTATATACTAATTTGGAATTAGGCACCTGTAATTATAAAAGTTCATGTACTTTTTAGCCCAGGATTTCTTGTAAGTGTCAACCCTAAAATATCAGAAATAAGGACAGAGATCAGTCTGTCATGTTTTTGATACATTATTTAGGATTAAACCCATATATATATATAATAAAATATGTATATCTGGGTAGTACAATTTTATTTAGCCATCAGAATTGTAGACTTTTGTTAAGTTTTGTGAAGCAAAAATAAATAAAATGTAAATCTTGTATTTTCTCTATTTATATTAAAAAATAAAATAGTAGATATGTACCAAAATTTTAATAGTGATCTTCTTAGATTAAAATGTGGGAAGATAGTTTTGATTTTCTTTTTTAATCTTTATTTTCCATTTAAAAAACAATTCATATGCTTTCTTTTACAGAATGAATTCTTCTATAGTAAATTTACTATATATTATAGTTATATAATTATATATACTATATTTTATAGTAAATTTACATAGTAAATTTTATTTAAAATAAGCAAAGCAAAGTCTTTAAAGAACTCTGCTAAAGGGCAGGTGCTTTTAATCTTTAAAGGTGAAAAAGCCCATCAAATATGCTTGAACGTCAGAAAGTGTGATCAGAACTTTCTACCCAAATATGGCATATTAGCATGGAGCACAAAACTGCTTTCAGTGCTTGACCAGGCTGATGAAGAGACCAGGGGCTCCGAGAAGGAGCCCCTTCTTCCTCTAGTTCTCATTGGAAGCAATTAGGGGAAATTAGCTCTATAAACAAGCAAGCCAACTGCACGCTTTGCCGGCTGGAACCAATGTAGGCTGGAAAGCATGTCACAGAGGCATGCTGAACCACTTATGGAAGCTGGACAGTAAATCCGGCCTAATGAAGGGTGCACATGCCCCTGCTGCTGGCCCCCAGCCACTGCAATGGTGTAATCTGCACCTGAGAGAGAAGTAATGTGCATGCTCTCTGTATTCAGAAATGAAGGTCCTAAGTAGGTATAAGAAATGACTCCTTGTAAAACTCAGCGAGAGAAAGAGAGAGAGAGAGAGACAGACAGACAGACAGACAGACAGACAGACAGACAGAAGAGGGAACAAATGAAAACCTTCCATCTAGGCCGGAAAGGCTGGGCTCTGCATTGTGAGTTGCAGTTTATCTATAAGGCACAAATGCACCACGTGGTACCCTGTTCCATGATGGAAACTCTATTCTCAAACTTTTCAAGTCTTTCTGAACCCCTATAGACCAAGGGCTGGGGAGGTGGCTTGGTTGTAGAGCTCTTGTGTAGCATATTCAAATCTCAGCACCACAAAAATAAATAAATAAACAAATAAATAAATGAATTCCTATAGCCTTGCTCCAGGTAACGTTTCTAACCCTATCCAGTGAAACAGGGCACAACATAATGCATACTGCAGCTGAGCAGAGAGCGCTGTATATCTCAGAAAAGGCAGTTGCTTTCCTTGACTTCAATCTTAAAACCCCTCATTCTCCTTGAACTGATTCTCATTTACATAAACTTTCATTGCATATCTGAACTTCATGAAGGAAGCAATACTTTATCATGTTTTATATGAGCTCCTTTTGAACCAGTTTTTTTGGTGGCAAAATGCATTTAACATAAAATTAACTATCTTAACCATTTTTGTTTTCAGTGCGATGGCATTAAATACAATCGCACTGCTGTGCAACCACTTCCCCCAACACATCTGAAGACCCTTTTCATCATCTCAGACTGAAACCCTGCACACAGTAAGCAGTCATAGACTACTCTTACTTCCATCACCCCTGGCAACCACCCTTCTACCTGTCTCTATGAATTTGCCTGTTTGAGGGCTCTTAATGAGCAGACTCACACAATAACTGCCTTTCTGTGTTTTCCTTATCTCACCTAGTATAAGTTTTTTCAAGTTTAACAAAATTTTTGGAGTAACCGGAATCTGTAAGTTGATAATCCATCAGATAAAGAAAAAGTTCTATTTATTCTTAGTTTCTTGAGTTTTCATTTTCAAGGGTCTCATTTGAGCAGTGACTCCTTTGGAACACTAGAAAGTTCCAAAGTCTCCCCGGCACATGGACATGTATACTCCATGCCAGAGGAAGTGTCCAACAAGAGCTTAGATAACCACTTGGTGGGGATATTGTAGAAGTTTGAATTAGGTGAGCTCCAAACTTTCATTCTATTCTACAATCTCGTGGATTTTACAGGCAAATGTTTTGCTTGTTTATTCATTTATTAATAAGGAAGTTATGAGGCTCTTACTGTATGTAAATGATGGGTACTGATGCAACACGATGACTGAGGATACTGACTTGTTTCCCAGCCTCTGTGGTGGAACCAGCAGACTTGCTTTTGCTCGCAACAAGGTTGTGTGGGCTGGCAGAGTAGGGAGAACTGCCAGTTACCTACGTGCCTGAATGGAGACTTTGGTTTCTGGTGGAGGATTCCTTAATTGTGTCAACCAATATAGCAGTCAGAAAAAAACATAGCACACTTACATGACAGATCTGGGTACTAAGAATGCCTGCTAGAAACTGGTACTTCCTAGAACAAAATACAGAAAATCACAGAGTTATGGAATTTTAATAATACTTAGCAACACTGATCTTGAGTGAGTCGCTTAAACTTTCTGGCTCCCAGTTTTCTCAGCAGCAACGTGGATCTAAGAAACACTCGTGCCAGGACTGTTGTGGATATTAAATGAGTTACTGCATGGAAAGTAATTTTCACTGGGCTTGGCTCAGAGACACCATTAGGAAAAGTCAGGCTGTCTCTCAAGGATACCATCCACACAATAGGTTAACTCCTTACCTGCAGGACGACCATAAAGTCAGGACATCTCCTGAACTTTCCTAGGATTTCTGGCTGGTGACATGGAAAGTCTGATTCACAAATACTATTGTGTTGGTTCGAAGGATAGAACTGCCATTTTGTACACCAACATAATTAATATTGAAAGCCATAGGAAGAGGTTAAATCCAAAGAAAACACAGTCTCATATGAGTCAGAAAAAACACCTGAGTATTTTTCTTGTTGAAATTTGTAACAGCGCAGATTAGGATCTGTGAGTCCCAGTACCACTGACTTCAGCTGCCAACTGCAAGGTGGTGGGTGGGCGAGGGGCAAGGCCATCCGTGGAGGGATACGGATATGGCCAGAAAGCAGGGTGGGGCGTGACAACTCACAGAGGGCAATTGTTCCCTAGGCAGAATCCACCCAGAGTGGTGAGCATTACAGAAGTCAAAGGAAAAGAGGCAGACTATACTGGTAAAAGGGAGTGGGTTCTAAAGGTCTGTGACGATGTGTGCACCCAAAGGCTGTCTATGGCAGTCATACTTACCTAGGCCACATATCTACAGTAGTAGGCAGAGGTCACACATTTACAGTACTAGGCAGAGTTGCAAATATGGACAAGATTTCTGAGAAGGCTAGGATATTTTATTAGATATCCAGGAATGCAAATTGCTCCTTGAATTATGGATCATGACCCCATGGATATATCTGGAATCTGTTCAAGTTTTCAGAAAAGGGAACAGCTTGGGGTTCTATATTTACTTTTTTCAGGTGAGGTTTGTGTTAACCTTTAAAACATGAACAAATAGGGAATTCTTTTTTTTTGCTTTTGAACAAATAGGTTTTCTCAATTATTTCCTAAATGTTTTTCTCTTTTCCTACTGCTTTCACTAACAATTTAGTACTTAATTTCTTATATCTGACATGCATATGTCAATAAAAGAAATTAAGTACTTTCCTATCACTACAGTGGGGAAGGTTCATAAATTCATTATTCTTAATCATTTAATGATGTTTTAACCCAGGTTTGGTGGGAAATAGACCAAAAAGGGAGTGAATGTTCACAGATTTTATAGGGAAAAGGTATTGAAAGAAAACTGAGAGGTAGATAGAAAAGCCTGGAAGAAACTTCAGATTAGGTTGCTAGTCTGATCCTCCTGAAGGAATTGGAAAGGAAGGAAGGAAGGTTAGGTAGAATGTCTTTGACTGCCCTACTAGATAAGTAATATTTGGCAAAAATGCTGGAGAATCCTGAAGCCAAAGCTGACCTTCAGAGAAATCCCCTTCCTGGAGCTATTTGTGGGAAGGATGGCTCATTGCCAACTGGATTTCAGAGCACAGTCTGTTGTGTCTTTGGTTGATTACATCTTCTGTAGTTGAACTCTTTATGGCTATTATGAGGGGTAGGGTTTCTCAACCAGGACAGTATTGACATTTAGTTATGCTCACCTTTTTGGAACATTTATCATAGAACTTTTGTTGTGGGATGCTATCTTCAGTGCATAGAATGTTTAGTATCCTTGAGCTCTATCTCTACTGGATCCCCCAAGTCTTGACAATCAGAACTGCCTACGGGTATTACCAAATGTTCCTCCAGGTGAAAAAACACCCCGAGTTGAAAATCACTAGATCTGGGGACTCTTAAGAAACTTAGGGAGATTCCTTAGGAAAGTTATAACATCTGTTGGAAGGGGAAAAATACAAGTGTTTTGTATGATATATCATGATTATTAATAAAGGTAACTCAGTAAAGGAATCCAAGACCATCTTATTGCAATGATGGGCTACCGATTAGATATTAATTTCTAGTGCAAGTGAAGTTTCTCAGACTGAGGTAAATGTTTAATCAAATGTCTTACCCTAAATTTAGGACACCATTTAAAAAATTAAATGGATACTCGTACAGCTTAATGCACTATGTTGTAATGCAATCTCATGTTATGCTTAGTTTTTTTAGAAGATGCATAAAATATTTCCTCTGTAATAGTGTTCATACATTATAATATATGAATGCAGTGATCTCACATTTAATTCAATTGTAACACAACCATCACAGATAGAAATTAAATTGAGGAATGAGGTAGATGAGATTGCTGGAATCTGGCATCTCATATTTGATTTTCACCAACCATCAAACAGCCTTTGTCTTTCTGGCTCTGCAAGACAACAAATAACCCTACTTACATTTTCATCTGGACAACACAGCTGATCCCCACATTCACTAGAAGTGGTACTGGGTGAGGTCATCCCCTCTGCATGTGACCAGACCCAGCCCTGCTGTATGTCACCTAGACTATCCAGTGGTCTCCTCTGTCCTCCTTTGCCCTGTGTTTTCTACAGAACAATCAGAATGGCTCCTTAAAAACAAGTCTGACCTTCCTCTTTTGCAATTCAAAAGCTTCCCAGTCTTCCCCTTTCACCCACAGCAAAAGCAGAGTTCTTACTGTGGCCAACAAAGGCCTAACCTTGGCTACAAAAAGAGGGTCTGGAGGGCAGCAATGGTGATGGCATTGACGGGGAGGAAGAAATGCAGACTTTGAGCCTTTCGTGGGTCGACTGAATCAGGGTCTTCATTTTACATTATTTGGAGAAGGTCAGTCCTTCATGATCTGGCCAGCAGTTGCTTCTCTAACCTCATCTCCCTCTACTTTCTGCTTGCTCACTCTTCCGTAGCTAACACTCAGCCTCCCATGCATGCTCTTGTCCTGGGGCTTTTTGCTTCTGCTCAGTCACACATCTTTCTGCTTCCTGCTCTAATATCACCTCACCAGAAAGGCTTCCTTGATTCTAGAAACAATAGCATTTTTACTCCCCGAGCTCTCCTGCCCAGCTCACTCTCCATCCATGCGTTGGACCTTATCTTAATCCAGAGCATTTATCTCCGTTCACTGTCTGGAAAATTGGTGAACTCTTACTGATCAGGAGCAAGAGCTTTGGCTACTATTTTTTCACTGCTGAAAGTCCAGATCTGGAACAATGTCTGACAAAAAGTAGATCATTAGTAGATTTTCATTGACAAAATGAACAACTGAAATGTGCAGTCTCAGGAGACAAATTCTCTGGAGATGGAGGAGACGCCACAGGGACATGGATGCTAGATCTCACTCCATCACACTGGGCCATCCTGTCTCACTCCACCTGCCAGCGACATCGTCGTCCTGCGATGCTCCCTTCACAGATGCCTGGATGAATTGAGCCCAAAGGAAAGCCTCTGGCTGTGGGATAGATTCTCTCCTCAGTCAACGATAAGCCCAGATCAAGCAGAGGATTCCAGAACAAAGCTGCAAGATGCCGCTCCCCTTCTGGCACATGGCAGGATCAAGCTGTGTGTTTAGTTTAGATGATTTTTTTTTTTTTTTTGAAGAGGAAAACAGCCAGAGTTTCTAAAATCCATAGGATTTTTTTTCCAGAGAAAGATTAATCTTTACTTCTTCTGAAGAGCAACCTGTTTATACATTTGCTGGAAGGGTTGTCTGGAAAAAAATTAAAATGGTAGGGCTTGATTTGACACATCTGGAGCAGATGGGCATGTTTTCTTTGGCTTCCTGTGTATGTTTAAATTGGGGTTAAAATGGGAACGATGGTAAGTGTGGGAGACTCAGGTGGCTGGGCAAAGACTAGCATAGAATGTGAGAAAAAGAACAGAATAAAATGTAACCAACTCAGTCATTAAAAATCCTTCACTTTCTTTTGCTGGTCAAAAGCTATGCTGTAAATATTAAAGGGAGAAAAGGTAATAAAGGCTCAAAGATAGAATATGTGAATATATGACTGAAGAACAGTTTATGTATGACAACATTTGGCTCCAATCTATTACTGAAGGCTCACCGGTATATCAAGAAGGACTGATATAGAGAAGATGTTCCCTACAGAATTCAATTTAAATAAAAGCAGTTCATGCAATGCACAGGTGTGCTGAGGACAAAGCCAGGTGTATGGGGAAGCAGCAAGTGTGTGACTTTACATGGAGAGCAGAAACAACAGCTGAGAAAGTTTTGAGCTGTATTTCATATAACCAAGTGGTGCAGAGAGCAGAGTGTCGCCCTGAGCAAGGTGTTCTGGAGCCCATGCAGCCTTTTAGTGACTGAATCACAAAGGTAACTATCAAATGACCTAGAATTCTTCCTTTATCTGGGTATTTGGGGATTGATATCCTTTTACTCTTTGCTTTGTTTCCAGATATATGCACAGATTATAGTAGGCATTTTGCATTCAAGTATTAGGTATGTTCATGAACGAAGAAAACAAACATCATTCACCTCTCTGTTCTGGAGGAGCAGCAGTTCATTTCCATGCACAGAGCTATCAGTTGTGACTATGCATTGGCCTATGGCCAGGAGATGGCTTTGGGTAGAAACTGTAGATAGCTTCTCATGATTTAGAAAAGAGCTACCATAAACAAGTTTAAAGTGACTTGCCACCAAATCTAACATAATTTGGTGAGCATTTTGAAAAACAGCTATCTTAAAGTCACCAACTCATCATAAACTACTTAAAAAGTAATATTCTCCTCATTACCCATGTTGAGGGATAAACTGATTAGGAGTTTGAAATCAACTTACCTCATATTTCAAGACGCTACTTTTACAAAAGGCATCCAATGACTCAGATGCCACCTGACACTCAAATCTCTCAAACAGTGCCTAAATAACCACAGACCAAACAACTGTTCTCTGCAATTGCACCAAGACTTCTGTTGCTTATGATGTCCTCCCCATCGTCCACAAAAATCTCTATGATATGTTTAAAAACACAGTAAATATTTTTTTCCAATAATAACAACTAAAAGTCCACAAATTGTGGTTTACAATAGAGAAGGTGGGATCTTTATGTCTCTCTCTGGGATATATTCTGGCAATTTTCTTCCATTTTCATTATGTTTGTGCCAAAAAAGAAAAAAAAGAAGTATTCCAAAACTTGGGAGGTGCCTGGGAATCTAATAGTATTTCTAAATTGTCTCCAAGAACTTTAAAAGATGTGCTTTTGGGCCAGAATAGACTCAGAAATAAAAACAAGTCTAAATCTGCCCCACATGCACAAAGCACATGTGCAGCTCATAACAGAGGCTGTGTGCATGAATATATGAGGGTTGAATGCGGCCCCAGCCGGGCTGATAACACACTCAATCAAATGGTTCATCCTTCTGCCTCTATGGATTTTCTCTTCTGCCTTTGGCAAATTTATGAAAAACAAACGCAAATTCAGCCAGCCAATTCTGGACGCTTATCAACAGGTTCATTATTTTGTCAATCAAAACACAGCACTCTAGGCATCTGAACTTTAAGGAATCTGTTTCCTTTAAATTGAAAGCTTGC